TATAAGGAAATACTTTCAAAAAAAGGCACAATTGATTATTTATGTGTATTTATTTTTATATTATTCAAGCCAAACATCCTTTTATACCGAGTAATTGGTACTTTTGAAGGTAAATAAGTGACACTGATAAATTAGTAACACTTGTGTTTCAGAAATAGCTCTGGGTTCATGCGTGCAACATGTCGGTAGGCAAATATGCCGGCATTTCGGCATATTGAGCTAAAATGGGTAGATCAAGTTTTTTTTTATCTTTAGGTTATTTACACAATTTTTTTTTTTTCTGTTGTGGTATATGAATTTATATGTCACATATTTTAAAAAACTTTAGAGTTTATACATTCTTGATTTCCAGAAGTAGGATCATTACCTAAACTATTTTCAAGGTTATTACAGCTATAGTACGTATTGATACGCATATATATGTATATATAAATATATACTGTATATACACTTAAATACATTAGGAATAATTAGGAATACATTAGGAATACATTAGAAATTAGAATAATGGAGATCTTCTTAGATTATGATGCAATTTTTTTTTTTATATAAATTTATACGTATATGATCGATGACATAAATTAAAAGATAATTTAAGATAATTTAAGATAATTAAAAGATCGGTCCGATCACATGACCTTGATAACGCGGGAAAACTCGGTGTTTACCTTTGGTTTACTAACTTTTAAATCCTTTTATCCTTTTACGTAGTTAGGTAAAAAAAAAACTATCGGATTTTATGCAAGAATGATTTTACAAAACTTTACAATTACCATTAGCGATGAAATAATAAAGAAAACTTATATGTGCATTGTAAATCTTTATACAGTATAGGGAAATTTTTTAAAGGTTCTTTGTAATATAGGTTTTAGGCGAAACGAATTGGTTGTACTAGTGTACGAAATTTGTACGAAATTTGTACGAAATTTGTACGAAATTTAATGTTCTCCGCGTATTATCTGAGAACACTAACATATACGTACGTAGTATGTAGATTAATTAAAATTTCGATATGCTTATTTGAGAATGTTATTATTATTATTATTATTATTATGCGTATTAATGTTCAACAAATTTTAACTTTAAAAAAAAAAAAAAAAATTCGGAACATAAATTCGAAATCTTTTTTACACGTTTCTTGTCAAGTATTATTTTATGTTACATACGTATAAAACTTTAATTACTATTACAAGTTCTATGTTAATAAATTTTTATAACCTTGTTTTATAATTAAGACTTTTATCGAGAAAAGTATAGTAATTTGGCTATAATCATACGATATTTTTTAGAGTATACTATATCACAAACTCATAATTTTAGATTGTTTGTAACACTTTACTGAACAAAAAAAACTTGAATTTCTCTGGCAAAATCTGAATTTCGAACTTTATTCATGTAACATAAAATAATACTTGACAAGAAACGTGTAAAAAAGATTTCGAACTTTATTCATCAAGATAAGAAATAAATATACATGATAAAAAAAAAAAAGATAAAGAACAAGATAGATAAAAGATAAAAAAGTAAAAATAAAAAAAAATAAAGTGGCAAATTGGCAAACGATACGAACTTTAAAAAAAAAAATTTAGGCAAAATCTGAATTTTTAACGGAACAAAAAAAAATCTGGCAAAATCTGAAAATGTAACGTAACAAAGTAAATTTGGCAAAATCTGAATTCGTAACAAAAAAAAAATTTGGCAAAATCTGAAAGATCCGAAGGTAAAAATTTGGCAAAATCTAAACATAATGAACAAAAAAATTTGGCAAAATCTGAAAAGTGGCAAAATCTGAATTACTAATTCGTGAACAGTTAATCGCAAGGATTATCGTGAAATCATTAAAAAAAAATGTCGTGTTAAACACGACCCATAAAGGTTGTTGAAAATTGTACTAGTAGAGTCTTAAAAAAACTTACAAATGATGATGGATGAATTGAAATTATTTTGAAATTTTAAAATTTTGAAATTTTTGAAATTTTGAATTTTGAAATTGGGTAATTAATCACAAACACAAACAAAAAATTTTCGAAAATTGAATAAAAATTGAGGAAATCACAAACACAAACAAAAAAAATTTCGAAGTTTGGTAACATGAAAATATGTCGGTAAAGGATAAAAAATAATCTTATAATGTTTGATAATGTTGATGTTAATTTTTTTTGGTATATATAGAGAATTTAAATTAATCAATAATTTAAATCATTTGCATTCACATCTTATATATTATATTATAATTATAATTGTTATATGTCGGCAAGATCTTAATAATAAATTTGAGATTGGTGTTTTCACTTATTGTTGGCGGTAAAAACTTGTTCTCCTTCATTTTGCTCGAATCATAAGATTGAAAAAATGAATAAAGGAAAAGTGTCTTCTACCAATAGAACCGCACAAACACTTCAACCCACCCACAGATACATCAAATTGGGTTAAATACCGTTGAAAATAAAATTGCCATCCAGAAAAAAAATAGAAAAACTACATGCTGCAAATTGTCAAGAAACCTAGCTCCGTGTGCCGTGATACGTTTCTTCTTCAGAGAAACATGTTTGCACCGTATGCGAGGCTTCATAACTTCATCATACCAACCAGAAAATAATAATATATATATAATAGTATATAGATATATATATATATATATAAATGTAATAATATATATGATAATAATATATGATAATAATATATGATAATAATGGTCTATTATATTCCGGTAGAGTATTTGGGTGTAGGCCGATTGCAGTGACCCGCAAAGAATCATCCTTAGGAAACGCCAAACGACAGTGACCAGCTTCAATAATTTCAAGACTTTTTGGAGTGTGTCTTTCTACTTGTTTGATGAATGGAGATATTGGTTTCGAAACGGACACAATTAGATATACATGTACGTGAGCGTGTGTGTAATGCTCTTTTGATAGATTCCTCCTTTCTCTTCATTCAAATCTTCAAGGTTACGTCGGCAATATGAGGAGTATATGTGATTCATACTGACAAAGTAAACTTTTCGTTCCTTTTACTTTGTCGAAAAGTAGGGGAGTTTGTGGCCATAAAGCGAACTTTTCGATTTATCGAAAAGTAGGATTATTGCAATATTAAAATAAATTTTAAATATAATTATTGCAATTATGCGATGGTTACTAAAAACGGTAAAGTATTTTGCAAAAGAGAAATTATCGTAAAAAAATATCGATGTATGTTGTAATTGAATTGTCGATTTTTTTTAAAAATTAATGATTTTAAGGGTTTTCTCACGCAAGCGGTTTGCGTGGGGTTTTAAAGTGGATCGAATATTGGCTTTCGAAGGTAATAGCACAAACACAAACATTTTAAGAGAAATTGAAGTACACAATTTTTGTGAGATCGTTAAGATCGTTTGGTATCATAAAATATCATAAAAATGATATATACCAATAAAGAATATAAAAGGGTAAGCACAAGACTACAAAATAATCGAAGGAACTGTAATCCCGAATTGATTGATTGATTGAAAATTGTCCATTACAACTGTACCCATAAAAGTATAATGGAATAATATAATGAGATCAAAATAATATGATGATGAAGAAATGTTCAAGGGTATTTTGGAAAGGTCGCTAAACCTTCCCGAAGAAGAAAAGAAAAAGAGCCCTTGTTATTTTCCTTTCCTTCGCTTCATGTGGGTGAAAAAATTTAGAACACAGCAGTGTTCCACAACATTGAACCGCACCAACTAACAACATCTTTAACATTAGAAGCAATGTTGACACATCGCTCCACAACACCGGACTCATTCATTTCAGGAACCCTCATTTGTTGATTATTAATACGTTTAACTTCAATAGCACTACGTGGCACCATCATACGAGGATTATTAACATGATGATGTGGAGGAGGGACCATCATCCTTCGCGGTGGAGAACCACGCGGAATGCCACGCGGGCTTGATTTGATCATTGGTGGTGGTAAAGCGAAATCATCAACATTTTGAATAGGACCACCAATAAAGGAACCATCTTTACCGAATGGTAAATTAACTTTTCCAGTATTTTTAAATTGATCTTTAGCCAAAGCAAACATTTGATCATAATTTACAGGATGTTTTTGATCTAAAGAGAATGGATTAGTCCTACGCCGCATTGGCCGCATTGGAGGAGAAGGAGGTCGTACAGTAGTATAATGCGTAGGAGTATAATGAACTTGCTCCAAATTACGACTAAACCTAATAGTTTTTTTCTTTTGTTTAGGTTCAATCGGTTGTGGATTTGGATAACGATAATTAGCAAAGGACTTTGAATCGATATCAGGATTTTTTGCATTAATCCACATCATTTCATAAGCGTAAGAAATGAGATCTTTTAATGGATCATGTTCCACGGGTTTCTTTAGAGCCGGTTTAATGTAAATGGACGGAGAGTTTGATGGAGAAGAAGAAGGAGTAGAAAGATCAAATGGTAATGGAGGAGACGCGGTGGCACCAAAAACGGGTGATGACGGGCAACAAGTACCTGGAGGACTTCCGACTAAAGTTTGGTCATCATCATCCTCCAAGAATGGATCATTATCAGGTTGATAAAGGGGTGCAAACAACCAAAGGATATCGCATTCCTTTTGCCTATTTATAATGATTAAAAAAAAATAGATGATTGGTTAGAGATTGTGAATGATCTTTTGTTTGTTGGACAAAGGAACAAAATATAATTGTGAATGCCTTGTTTCACCGCATGGTAACCGTAAAAAAAGGAAAGGTAATAATAGAATCTATAATATATAATATATATATGTAATATATATATATATATATAATATATATATATCATATATATTTTATATATCAAAGAAGCCCGCCAAAAAAAAAAAAAGAGAGAGAGAAAAAAAAAAAAAGAGATAATTCGGGTAATTATAAATCTTTTCAGCAAAATGTCCGTGTGATCAACGATGGGTTAAATTGGTAGGAAGATGTTACACGGATCAAAGTTTAAGATGCCAAAAATAGGATACAATAACAAAATTGACAGGTTTTATGGAAATCATATCATTTGCGCGCCATCCCCAAATTTTTTTTTCAGCCCAAGTTACAAAGTTTGTGAAACGGAATACAATTGTGCCTCCCCCCAAAAATACCATACCAACCAAAAGAAATAAAGAAGTAATAAGGAATCGAAATCAAGTAAATATTTTTCTTACCATTTCAAAGTTTTTGGGGAAACTAATTTGTTGCCTTTTCCGACACAACCGACACTTTGACCCATACGTCTCCAAAGAGCATTCTTCATACGAATCAAACGTTTTTCTTCAGCACGAAGGGCATAGTCATGTTTTTGTTGTTGAAGTTGTTTGCTAATGTTGCCGATGATAGGTTTACCTGAAGAGCGTTGTTGAAGACCAACAGCAGGACGAGAACTCTTTGGTTGTTGTGGTTTTTCTTGACGAATTTTTTCACGACAGGCATCAAGTTGTCGACAAATTTCTTTGTATGAGTAAATAATATCAGTGTCAGACCAGTCATGG